CCACAGAGCCAGTTATCTCATCATACAAGGCAATCCAGTTGCTCAGACATGACTTGCCCTTGGTGAATCCATGATGACTGTTCCTAATAGCCATCTTCTCCTCCAAGTGCTTAGAAATGGATTCTTTGAGGACCTGCTCCATGATTTTTTCGGGGACTGAGGTGAGGCTGACTAGTTTGTAGTTCCCTGGATCCTCCTTCTTCCCTTTCTTAAAGAAGGGCAATATTTGCTCTTTTCCAGTTATCCTGGATCTCTCCCAATTGCCATGAGTTTTCAAAGATAATGGCCAGAGAGGCTGTGCAGTCACATCAGCCAACTCTGTCAGCACCTTTGGGTGCATCTCATCCAGCCCCATGGACTTGTACATGTCCAGCCTTCCTAAATAGTCCCTAACCTGTTCTTTCGCCACTTTTGGCTGCTCACCTCCTCCCCAGACTGTGCTGCTTTGTGCAGTTAGTCTGGGAGTTTACCTTGCCTGTGAAGACTGGGTAAAAAAAGCATTGAGTACTTTAGCCTTTTCCACACCATCTGTCACTAGGTTGCCTCCCCCATTCAATAAGGGACCCATACTTTCCCTGATCTTCCTTTTGTTGCTGACATACTTGTAGAAACCCTTATTGTTACCCGTCATATCCCTTGCTAGCGGCAACTCCAATTGCTCTTTGGTCTTCCTGATTTCACCCAGGCATGTTTGAGCAGTACTCTTATACTCCTCCCCAGTCATTTGTCTAAGATTCCACTTCTTGTAAGCTTCCTTTTTGTGTGTTACTGCACTGAACAGTTCCCTGCTAAGCCAGGCTGGTCTTCTGCCACACTTGTTACTCTTCCTGCACATTGGGATGGTTCATTCCTGCACACTCAGTAAGGTTTCTTTAAAGTACAGGCAGCTCTCCTGGCCTCCTTTCTCCTTCAGACTGGTCTTTGTACTGAAATGCTCAAAAGTCAGGAAATGCCAAAGTTAAGGTTCTCTTTATAACTATTCTTTTTGTTCTCAGGTAAGCACAGACAACTCCAGTGAATTCAGTTAAGTTGCATGAATGTATCTGAGTACAAAATATGATCTTATATGAATAATGCAGGTGACCTGTGGTTGCAAAGAGAACTCTAACTTTCACATTTTTAAATTGTTCCATGTTATTTTTATTAAGAGCAGATTTTGAATCTAATAAATGTACCACATGTTGCAAAGTAATTATTCACCGACTCCTAGAGGGATAATGAGGATACTCCATTGTGGTTTCTAAGATTACCACTTTTAAGCTATTGAAAGCATATTAAGGTCCGATTGGGCAACTCCTCTACAGACACAATTCATTTTAATCTCATGGGAAAATTTGTGTCAAGAATGTAAGATCAGGTCACTTGTTACATCATATTCTAAAGTGATTGTGACGTCTGCTTAATATGAATGGGGCCCATCAAGCAGCTAGTGAAAAACTGAATGAATATAGTGTGACTCTTGAAGTTTTGCACTGGAACTATGGATTGGGTTTAGAATTCCAAACAAATGAAAAAGAATCTACCAGTGAGAGAGACTGGTTTTTAAATCTAATTCACTTGGTTTGAGGCATAATCAGTGTAATTATCTATTAATAAAAAAAAAAAAATGACTAGCAAAGCCCCATAAACTAGGGACAGAAATTACACATAAACTAGTATAAGTGATCAGAATCAGTTCAAATCTCTAATGCAACAGAAGTTCAGTGCACATAAACTGCTTTCAAAATGGCTGAAACCAGTTGGATATAGTATCAGACTTAACTGATTTAAGTTAAATTGGTTTATTGAAGTTCTGTCCCAGATCCCCTCCAAATTCAAGTTAACTCACAGTCCCCCAGCATCCCAGGATGCTTTGCACCTCTCCCACAAAGCCTCCCTGCCACTCCCCTCGAAGGGTGGGAAGGCTAACCTTGTCCTGAGGTATCTGCTCCAGCCAAGCAGGGAGGCGTTGCTGTAGTATCCCACAGCTTCTGGCCTGGGGTACTGCAGGCATGTGGCTACATTTCTGGAATTGAAAGTGAATGTCTGTTCACTTGCTTATCAGTTCAATCTACACAGCTTTGGCTAACCTGCAAAAATTGAACTGATTCAGCCTTGGACTTTTTGACTGTACTTGGCCATAGTCTTTTGAGGAACGAACGGCAGGAGATACTATTATGCAGCTCTATAAGGTAGGCAAAAAGTGTATGATTATAAAACATGGTCACTCTACAGAGATGGAGGTTGGTAGTAGTGATGACTGACTTGAGAGCAGTCAGTGTAAATTGTCAATACAGTCCAAGTATGAGACTAAAATTAGACTTAAGCTCCTGTGTGCTTAAGCCACTTTTAACAATGGGCTTTTGGCTTCTAAACTACTACGGTGTTTCTTAAAAATTTGCCCTCAGTTTGATCTAACTAGCTTATCTTCAAAATACAACACCTGCTAGTTACTGGGTAGTTACCTAGGCAGTGGGGAACTGGGAGAGGCAAAGGGTTAATATTGTATTACAGAGCCCTTCTACTCTGGTTCAAAAACAGCTCAAGTTGATAACAATTGAAAATCATTAATGTTGTCAGCTTGTTAACTAAGTCAGCTGGTCTAAGACCAGACTGTGTCCATACTATACATCTACTGATGTTATTGGCATGCTTTGTTGACACTCAGAAAAGAAGCCAAGAACTGAATATACCCTGGAGACTGAACTTTCCTATCATACAGAGAGACTGGGTCACACTGAGACATTTTGGCAAAGCACTTTTGGGTGTACTTTATCTGTTCTATGGATACATTGGTTTCTGAAGGTGTCAGTCAGGCACTGACTACCTGATGTACAATAGAAAGGAAACCAGAAAGCAAATAGGAGAAAAAGCAATGAGAAAAGAGAAAGCAAATAAGAAAAAAAAAAAGCTGTCATATCTAAATTAATCTGGGTATGTGAAAGAGGTGTTATTTCTTTGTGTCTTTTCCATATCAAGGGCATTGGATATGGATTTGTGATGCTGCATAATCAATTCTCCCTCCTTGTCTGTGCTTTGTCAGGAATGGTTTTATTCATTTGCAGTCCTTGTTCATTCTTTCCTTCCTGTTTTGCTTGTCTTTATAGATTCTTATCTAAGCACTGAAAGCATTTTTGTTGATATCAGAGAGATTGCACCTGCTTTTGAGAAGTGAGTGAGTGGCACTACATGATGATAAAATAGCCATTTGAGATGCATTTGCTAATGCTGATAACATTAAAATGTTCCCTTGAATACATACAGTGCTGTGAGCTGTTTATCCACTTGAAGAACTTTGTTGGGTTTTTCTAGTATCTAAGTAACTTGGGAGTTTAAACCCTTCAATGGGATTTGTGCTCCTGAAGTCACTTAGACTTTGGAAAAATCTCACTTTTAAGGTTCGGTTTCCATTTGAGACACTTTATCAGGTGCATGACAGCTTACCTAATTCTTTTTATTCTGGCTGAAAGAGAATAGCCTGTGTCATGGCAATCTATAATGTTTGAATCCAATCTTTAGCAAATTCTGCTAGTATATAATGCAATGAGTAGTAAAACACGTTAAATTGGCCTGGGCTGTGATGTGTTCAGTTTAGATAAAATATCAATGCACCTGGGTTTTCCTCCTCATTAGATTAGAGACAACTTTCATTTTATACAGGACTTGAATACAAACACACACACAGAAGAAAACAAAGAGCACTTGAATTTTGTTTTGGTAGTTGAGCTCACTAGCATTGTTCTTTCTGCATATAATAGTTTACTAGATTTAATTAAAACTTTAAGTAGAGAATTACTGTGTTTACATGTGGAAATTTCTAAATTATTTTGGTGTGAAAGACTCACTTATGGTGGTGAGCAGTGCCACACTGATAGTCTTTGGGGCACCTGTCCAGAAAAGGGTTTGGCATGGCAGCAACAGTGCCAGTCACTTACCATGCTTCCCTTTCAAATTATTTACTTTCTGATTTGGGGAGTCAGTCTCTCAGGGAAAGTGGGAATCTTCATGGTCCAGAGCGCTCTAATTAGTTTGCTCACTCTGTTTGTTCACGGTTCTTCCCTCTTTGCATCCTTCTGGCATGGGTGGCAGACGGCTGGCTGGCTGCTTCTGTGTGTGTGTGTGTGTGTGTGTGTGTGTGTGTGTGTGTGTGTGTGTGTGTGTGTGTGTGTTTTTGTGTGTGTGTGTGTGTGTGTTTGTGTGTGTGTGTGTGTGTGTGTGTGTGTGTGTGTGTGTGTGTGTGTGTGTGTGAGATTAGCTTTTTAGTCCTCAATTAAGTTACCGATTAAGAAGCATCCATGTGACCAAACCACCACCACAACTGGAGCCTTCATTGGGGTGCAGGGTCACTGAATGGACTAGCATATATAATATGATATACAGGTTTCCCTTGCCAACCATGGGGGTTAGGTTCCTGAAAGTTCCCGTGGCTGACAAAACTGGCAAGGCTGGGGAAGCAGGGGCTGTGGGCGGGGGGGAGGGGCACCAGCAAAGCTAGAGGAGGTGGGGGGTGAGAGGCATGAGGAGGGCCAGAGGGGCCGTGGAGAGTATTTTGTGACTGTACTCCCCCCTTCTCTAAAACAAGGATACTCAAAACTGTGGTTGGCAAACTGTAATAGTATTAAATGGTGCTCGCTCTGTCAGTACCAATTCCTTGATCTGCCTCCTCACTCCATTTCAGGCATGGAGCTAGTGAAGGAATTTTGTGTTTTTTAGACTGAGTTGGATCAGGGCAGAGTATTTTATTAAAAAATCATCCAAGTCTTTGTCAGATTACTTGTTTATCAATTCATCTTTGCCTGTTCAGCATCTAAACTCCCAAAGCAGCACCAGTAGTTTGTTCCTTACATTAATAGTTTCCCCTAATGGTAAATGCAATTTACTAAGTAACAAAGAAACAATGTGGGCATTTCTAGCACTGTTTCTCAGATATTGAAGTGTGTGTGTGTGTGAATGAGGAGAACATTGCATCTTGTTTTCTTTTTGTCTCATGCTTTCTCCCATCTCTATTCTATTTGTTTCAGATTCCTGGCCTTGTAATAAGAAGACCTGTTGCATCTACACAATAGAAGCTAAATCTTGTGTATGGCGTTGTTAAGGTTGCAGCCTCTCACCTCAGCCTTCCTCCATTTTGGGCTCGTTACCTTTGTGCTATTTTTGCATGGCTTGCAGGTGGATGCTGGCTTGACTGGAGATTCACCAAATATTGGACAAAACAACTCATGCGCAGGATCATTTGACTGCAAGGAGGGTGTTATCTTGCCAATATGGTACCCAGAAAACCCATCCCTTGGGGACAAAATTGCCAGGGTAATTGTTTATTTTGTAGCACTTATCTATATGTTCCTTGGAGTTTCCATCATTGCAGATCGGTTCATGGCATCTATAGAAGTCATTACATCACAAGAGAAAGAAATTACAATCAAGAAGCCCAATGGAGAGACCACTACCACTACTATTCGGATTTGGAACGAAACTGTTTCCAACCTGACCCTCATGGCTCTAGGTTCCTCTGCTCCTGAGATCCTTCTCTCGTTGATAGAGGTTTGTGGGCATGGATTCATAGCTGGAGACCTGGGACCTTCTACCATTGTTGGTAGTGCTGCTTTCAATATGTTTATCATCATAGCCATTTGTGTCTACGTGATCCCTGATGGGGAAACCCGAAAGATAAAACACCTCCGTGTTTTCTTTGTCACAGCTGCTTGGAGCATCTTTGCTTATATCTGGTTGTACATGATCCTGGCAGTCTTTTCCCCAGGTGTGGTACAGGTGTGGGAAGGTTTGCTCACTCTATTCTTCTTCCCTCTGTGCGTCCTTCTGGCATGGGTGGCAGACAGGCGGCTGCTTTTCTATAAGTACATGCACAAAAGATACCGCACTGACAAGCACAGGGGTATTATCATAGAATCGGAAGGTGATCACACCAAGGGAATTGAAATGGATGGCAAGATGATGAACTCCCACTTTCTGGATGGAAACTTAGTGACTATGGAGGGGAAGGAGGTAGATGAATCTCGCAAAGAGATGATCCGAATCCTCAAGGATCTGAAGCAAAAGCACCCAGAAAAGGACTTGGACCAGCTGGTAGAGATGGCCAACTATTATGCCTTATCTCACCAGCAGAAAAGCAGAGCTTTCTATCGCATCCAGGCTACCAGAATGATGACTGGAGCTGGCAACATTTTGAAGAAGCATGCAGCTGAGCAAGCCAAGAAGAGCACTAGTTTGCATGAGATTTGTCCAGAAGAGCCTGAGGAATTCATCTCCAGAGTGTGCTTTGACCCTTGCTCCTACCAGTGTTTGGAGAACTGTGGTGCCGTCCTCTTGACAGTGGTACGGAAGGGAGGAGACATATCTAAGACCATCTATGTGGACTACAAAACAGAGGATGGCTCTGCCAATGCTGGTGCTGACTATGAATTCACAGAAGGAACAGTAGTCCTGAAATCGGGGGAGACCCAGAAGGAATTCTCTGTAGGAATTATTGATGATGACATCTTTGAGGAAGATGAACATTTCTTTGTGCGCCTCAGTAACCTCCGTGTGGTAGAGATGGAGGAAACTCCAGAGCTCAACAGCTCACCATATCCAAAGGCCATACTCTCCTCTCCTTGTGTGGCCACAGTGACTATTTTGGATGATGACCATGCAGGCATCTTTACATTTGAGTGTGATGTGATACATGTCAGTGAGAGCATCGGTGTGATGGAGGTGAAAGTCCTAAGGACATCAGGTGCTCGAGGTACAGTCATAGTCCCATTTAGGACAGTGGAAGGGACAGCAAAAGGAGGTGGAGAGGATTTTGAAGATACTTTTGGGGAGCTGGAGTTCAAAAATGATGAAACTGTGTAAGTACCCCCTTCATTTCTGTTACTTGTTCTAGTTATTGTGGTTAATCCCAAATTTGCCTTTCACAGGTGAATGCAGACAACAGATAATGGGCCAGTTTCTTCAGCTTTCCTTCGGTTTCCATACTTACCTCTTCCAGGCAAGAACCCTACAGCAGGATCTAAGTGCTTAGGACTTCTTGTCCTTCCCCTGTCCTGGAGTAACAAATTGGGGGCTTGGAAATGTTACCAGTGGGTAGAAAAATATAGTCTCTAAAATCCTGTACTTGAACCAATTAACGGAACTTTTAAGACCTTACTTGGCCATTTTCATTATTCTTTAATTCCAGGAATAGTAAATGTGGTAGTCTGTAGAGCACAAGAGGTGTTTGAGTGCCACTTGCCAGTTGTCAGGTTAATAGTTCCATTTAGTCACTGCCAACAGAAGCAAACATGTTCAACCAAGCCTAAATAAGGTGGAATTTTTTAGAGCACGCAGTATTGTCCCAGTTCTTCTCCTGTTCACTTCAGTGGGAGGAGAGAGAGAGAGACCAATGATGAACATTTTTCAAAATCTCTTCCAAAGAGCTAAGAGGACACTAGAGACCAATGGGAGCTACTGGACACTGGGTTGTTTTGAACTTCTATTCCCAGATAGCGTGAGGAATAATTCCAGGACAAGACCTTTGGTCATGAAACTGGACATCTGTTCTACAGGTGGTCTCCTTTAATCTCCTTTCCCCATGGAGACTAATTTAAGGGTTGAATTTCCCCTATAATAAAAGTTTTAATTGTGAGGAGAGAACAAAGGGCTAATACATCAACTGGTTTAGGGAAATGTCTCCTTTGAATACTTTTAATGGTATCTTTAATGAAAACCACACCTCCCAAATTAATAGCTCCAAATCAGGCTGTCTCTTGCACATGCACACACAGGAAAATCAAAGCTACTTACCTAACAAGGAGCTTTTCCCATGTGTTCTTTCTTTCCCTTAGTTGCTTATCCAACCAGCTGATCTGTGTGGCAGCTAAAGGCATACAACTGGCAGCAATGCATGCCCTTCTGCCAGAATTGTATACTAAGCAGTAATTCTAGGTTGTGTGTCCCTTGCAGCCTCTCTTTAGAACTGTGATAGTGGGACAATGCTCTATCCATATGCCCATTCTTTTTAGTAGTTTAGCATGGGGATTAAACTAATGGTGTAAATTTTCAGTCTCTGTATTGCCTTCTGTGTGATCCTCTCCAAGTACAGTATTCTTCATATTCAAGTCTGTTTACCTGGGACTCTCCCCTGAGAAAAGCATTGCAGTAATCTAAACTGATGGTCCAAACCACTGCAACTGTACCTGTGCAGCTCTGTAGCATGGTGTTTTCATACAAATGAAAATTTAGTGACCTTTCCAGCCAGAGAAAGGAAAGGATTACATGGCCACTTTAATGGTTGGAGCCAGTCCTGTTAATTCAGGTCTTTTATTATGTACAAAAGCAGCTGATATAAGGGTAATAAGTAATAAAGACCAGAGAAGTTATAATGTCTAAATTGTTTTAAGTACCTGCCATTAATGTTAGTGGGGAATGAGAAAAATCTCTTAGAGAAGGAAGAAGGGTGTGTGAGGACTTGGTGCTAAAATTCTCTAATGTTAAGTGCTTAGGTGCCTTTTTTCACCCAATCACTTAAGTAATCAAAGGAAGAACTGTGCTGATGTGCTACTGACAGAAGAGAGAGAGAATCAGTGTACCGAGTCTCCCTGTACAGGCCACATAACACTGGTACATTGAGAGTTACAGAGCATGAGTGCCTGAACTCCATGGCACCTTCTCAGTCTGCATCAATGTAACACAGTTTTGTAATCCAGTTGATGTCCACAACCCAGATAGCTGATTTCAGTTGCAAACTCTTTCTTGCTAAATGAAGAGACGTTGCTGCTTGGTTGAATTTACCAGATGTCAAAAATTGAAGTTGATCAACTTTGTCCTCACCTGGGTTCTCAGGATGGGGGGGGAGGGGGGGGAGAGGTAGGTAGGTAGAGTGGGGATATTGCCAGTTGGACAGCTCTGACTTAACATGATTATATTGAAACTGGTTTAGTTTAATGGTGAAGCCTCCCTGAAGAACAAACACAGTTGTTCAGAAGTAGGGCCCATCCCCACTGAAATACAGCCAGGTCAAGGAAATTTGGAACAGCAGGTGATGATGCGGCAGTCAAGTCAGAATTCTGTTTAGGAGTGTAAATGGGTGTACTGATCTAGTTGGGGATGGTCCTGTTTTGAGCAGGGGGTTGGACCAGATGACCTCCTGAGGTCCCTTCTAACCCTAATTTTCTATGATACTCTACACCTACTCCTAATGAATGAATGTGGTGAGTTCCCTCATAAGCTTCCAGATGCAATTGTGCTGGAGGACAAGGCTTACAATTCTGTTACTTTACACTTAGAACAGATAGTAGAGTCATCAATGAAATTCAAGAGTCTGAAGTTTGAGATTGGGTAAGGACCTGTGCTTTCAGCTGCTTATTCTAATTTAGTGTAAACAATTGAAACACCATGGAATTCACTCACACCAGAGCCACAAATTAACCCCTCCAAATGTATATGGCTTAAATATTGTGCAGGAAGTCTTGTGAGGCCAGGCTCCTGCAGTGACATTTTCTATAATTGTTATTTCCATTTGAGCTGGAGGGAAGTTCAGGGAATGTTGTTGCCCTGTTCTGCTAGCTTTGCTTCAGACGGACACAGCATGTGCAGAGAACATGTAGTAATTGAGGGATGGATGGTGAGTTAATCCCCCATCCCTTTTCTTTTCTTTTTTTTTTTACTTAAAGGAGAAAAATAATTTGGGGCAAATGTTGAGATCAGACATGGGCTGATGGGGCAGAGTTCTCATCTGTATCTGAACTTTCTCTAAGGCCATCATTGGTTAAGAGCCAGACTTTGTTTGCAGGAGTGTGTGATGATTCTAGGTGACTCACTTCACCTGTCCCAAATAAAGTGTGGGTGATCTAGGGTGGAGTTTCATCTCTATGGCTTTGTATGAAAATACTGAGGGCTACCTCCACAGAAGGTCCCGGGCATCACAAAGCCGAGTAGCCAAACACCTAATTTTTAAGAACCTTGATACCAGGCAGAATCTGCAGCCCCAGGCAAGGTGCCTCTGCACTGCATGGAGAGATTTAAGTGCCTGGGAATGGAACCCATAAATGCCAGCACACTGAGTGGGGAGCTGTCTAAGCTAGGAAGCAGGGAAGAGACTGACCAGAGGTTGTGGGGAAAGAATGACCATGACTATATATTGTAGTGGTTAAGGAACTCACCTAACCACTATGGAGAGGGAGACCTGGACTCCAGTCCCTGCTTTATAGTACGGTATATTTCTTCACGTGCTGTGCATTTTTCCCAGTTCCTTGCCTTCTCCCAATTGTTGTTCCCTTTGCAGCATCATTTTAATGGGCCTCTGGCGCTCAGAGGAGTCAGAAAAACATAACATGCACAGAAGTCCCAGTTCAATAAACATGTAAGCCAGGGCTCAGCTTTACTATGCTAACCAGTCCCATTGAAATCAGTGGGACTACTCAAAGTAATAAAGTCATGTGTATGTGGGAATCTGTGGAATTGAAGCCACAGAGATGTCTAGGCCCTCTGACCTTTGGAGATGGACATAATAATAGCTGAAAGACTTATGGGCGTTTCAGTCTGCACATTTGCCATGTTCACTGGCATGAAAGTTGCACCAATTCAGGCTCCACCGAATGTTTGTAGAGAGGCTGGAAGCCTACACAAGCATAAGTATGTCCGAGTTTAACACAGAATCATAGAAAATTAGGATTGAAGGGACCTTACAAGATCATCTAGTCCAACTGGTTCTTAAAAATCTCCAAGGATGGAATATAAGGTACTAGAAATTGCATAGACCATAGAGTAGACATTATCTGCTACCAAATCCCTGGGGCCTATGGCTGGAGATGATCACACTGAATGCATTCCCTCAAAAATAGTGGTATAGTAAATTTCACTTAAAAACCTGAAATGTTTTTAAATCTTTATAAATTTAAACGGTGATATTCCCCAGTAAATGTGATATGGGCTTAAGAAACAGTTGAGCTGATGCTTAAATTAAAGGAAGGGAAGGGGATGGATCCTGCCACTGGGTCTTGCTTATTGCTTCTGTGACTCTCAAGACTAATATGGTCAAAGTTTCCTCACTCATCTTGGGTGGGAGTAGAGAGAGAGCAGGTCTCTCCAGAACTGTGAGGGTGCTGTTTTCTGATGTAGTGAGCCTGTGCGTGTGCATGTACGCGTGTGGTGAATAGCTATAAACCACAGTTATCTATTGAGAAAGGGGAATGATCACACAGGACTCAGTGCTTTGGTGCTGTCATGTAACGTAATGCATTTGTGAAGTCCAAATACAAACTTCTGACATAGGTCTGATTGTGTTTCGCAGTTTTACACAACCTAAACAGCTGTTGTGAGGATTATTCCCTCTAATCTGTTAAAAAGGTATTATCAAATAGATTAGGGGCAATATTTAAGTTACAACCCCCCCAAGATAACTAAACCATATTCATGAAACTGTGTGTGCATTTCATTTCTTTTAGTCTTTATGTTTTTATTGATGGTGGAAGCAAATATTTTGCCTTTTCCCTCCCCTCCCCCTCCCCACCTCCCTGGGCTTGTAAACTTTTCTCAGGCTACATGGTTTGAGATCTAGCAATTTGTCCTAGTCCAGAGGTTCCAAAACTTTTTTCTTATTGCATACCCCCTTCCAGATTTACCAGTTGCCTGTGTATCCCTGCCAGCATACTTGTCATATTTTAAACCCTTAAATGCCAATTATTATTATGACGAAAATTAAATTTTCCATTACACAATTTCTCCCACATACACCCCCCCGCCCCGAGATGCCTTGCATACTCCCAGGGGTACGTGTATTACAGTGTGGGAACCCCTGTCCTCGTCCATGAGAATCAGAAGTGAAACTAATCTATTTTTAATCCTAGTAACACAAGGAATAAAAAAGAAA